TATTTATGCGATCTATCGCATATGAAAGCATCTTTGCCAATATGAAGAGTGTGAAGTCTATCGAAATCACCAATAACTGGATTGGGATATAGAAAGTTATACCAGGAAAGAATGGAAAAAAGAGAAAAACGCTGATAATCGGTGAACATCACTTATCAGTAAGTGATTATCAGTCATGAGGGCGATACTGCTAATCAGTGGACGTTTCTTGCCCAGAAGAATTGCTTTAAATAGATGAAGCAATGGATGGAGCGCTTATGAAAATATGTAAGGCAACCGGGGACAGCTCTGGGCAGAACATGATACCGCTGCGTTAGGAATGTTGCTTACCGTCAGTAAAATGAAAAGTTTCACACACTACGATTCAGGCAATAATTATTGCTTAAAAAAATCTCCAACCAACCAAAATTAAGTGAATTTGAAGCTTACTGAAGCCGGTCCCAAACGCATCCTCACGTCACCAACGTAAACAATTTCATTCCACGGAATATAGAAAGTTTTCTCGAGCTTCTCAAATGGTTTCCGCATAAACTGCAATGTTACTGCACGACCGCCATTAACCATCAGATCGAAAGCACCGCCGTTATCCTCACTTCGACTGAGCGTGAAACCGGTCAACGGTGGATGACGTGCTTCCGCGATTCGGACACCCGTAAGCGGTGATCCATCTTGTGCCAAAACACGTCCACGGATGATTGATACAAAACTGAACAAGTATGGATTTTTAAAGAACAGGTAAAAGCAATGACGATTTGGGCCTCCCTTTTTACCTCTCCCTCGTCCCCTTCCCCCACTCACCCGCACCTCCAAATGCTTTCTTACAAAATTCTGGAAAGCATTGCCTGTTAAGAAATATGCAAAGTACAGTCAAAAAAGAAGACATAAAAACCAGACAAAACTTAAAATAAAAGGCACTGAGATCGGTTTTTTTAGGAAGACAGTACTGGATTAAAATTAAAAAAAAGAACAAAACATTTACGTCCGAGACAAACAGCTACTGAAAGAAGATTACTGCAAAAGCAAATTTTGATTCACATCTAAAGAATAATTCTGAAAAACAACTACCATTGATGGAGAGAGAGAGATTATGATAATGGTACAAATTTAGTCCTTATCCAGAAGTCCAATGCTTCTTCAGGAACGTGTACTCTTTTAATATTCATTTTAGGATAAAGAAGGAAGGCGAGGAGAACCGGAAAAAAAGACCTTATCTTAAAAGTTGCATCCGAAGAACACGATTAAAATTAGGAGCCAAACTCTACATACCTTGCGTTAAAGTGGCGTTCGTCCGTATATCGTTGCACAGAATCTCGTTGAATCAGAAATTTAATTTGCTGAAACAATTTTTATGTACAAATTATAGAAAAGTTAACTGAGGGTAACCTTAGTCACAGTTCTGATTTTCCTCTGCTCTGTCTAAGGCCTAAAAAACGAATTCGGACTTCTATATAAATAGATTTAAGCTTTATTTATTATAATACTAACCTGATAAAAATTGGCGTTTACTGGTGGGATTACTTTTAGGAGAACATCTCGTGGCTGTATTACCGTAGCACACATCTGACTGGACGAGCAACTCCTCTCTGTGCAGCACTCCGAATCCTCACAATCAACCAGTCCATCTAAATAGTTGAACAGATTGTACCAAATGTGCATTTGCGAAACTTCCTTGAAAACTCATTTTTCCAGACCAGTATTCGAAAAGATGGTGCTTGTGAACGGTGTATACGGTAGGATACACGAAAGCAAAAAGAGTGGATACGGTAGGTAATGTGCAGATAAACAGTCTGGAACAGGAAAATTTTACAGCGCTGCAATCGGCGCGCTACTGCATTTTTTGGCATCGACTGGCTCACAAAAGCAGCTGGATCGAGTGGTAAAAAATTTTATATCAAATTTTCTTTCGTAAATTGAAACCTTCAAATTCTGCACGTGGCTGAGTCTTCTTCGCTCTAAAGCCGCTAATTTTTTTCAGGAAAAAGCCAACACAAAAAAAAAAAATGATTGCAAAGAAAAATGTCAGATAGTTTTAGCCAGCAAATCTGTTTGTCCCCAGTTCTCTCTAACCAAAAAAATGCTGCCTGAAAGAGAATGAAAAGAGGGAACAGAATGCCAGGATGTTCAAGAAAAAAACGTGTTTTGAAAAATTTATCCGTATACTGTGAATTTTTGGAAAAATTTTCTTTTATTCAAAGCCAAAGCCCTTGGGTTTCATATTTTGTGAGTACAAATGAGCCGCTTTTAAGCCATAGCTGAACTCGTACCATTATCATTATCGACGCCGTCATCACAGTTCGATTCGATGGGTAACGAGCAGTTTTCACCAAAATATGACGAATCACAAGCACACTTCCATAATCCGGAAAACAGCTTGCAAGCACCGTTTCCATTGCATTCATTCACACAGCCCGCTAAACAATATTACAGCAACATCAGCATATGTCACAGTTTATTAGTAGTCACATAATTCTTTAGTTTAGCTATTGCTGCCACGTGCAGATTATTGGCAGCCAAACTCTAAATTTATTTGACTTTTGACTTTCAAGCAAAGTACCAATGAAGCAGTTCTCGCCATTCCATCCTCTGTTGCATATACAGGTACCATTATTACAA